AATACCGCATTTTTCAGTTCTGCTCTTGGGGCCTTTGCAGAAATGCCCCTGGTACCGTACGTGTCACCGGTACTTATACCGGCTCCCCGTACGGTACGGGGACCAGTCTCGAACCAGTTTTCAGCTGCTGTACTCGTACTCAGTGGGACTTGCCCTTGTTTCGGCATTCGGAATCCAAGACTTAGACTTTGTGTCTTTGCCACTGTGTCTGCGTCCATGGAGTCACTCAGTCGTGTCGCGTGAGTGAGTGTGTGTGTGTGCTCTCACTCTCTCTCTCTCTCCCCTCTCCCTTGGCTCCCCGTGTCTCCCTCAGCCTCGCACTCGTCACAACTAGCCAATTACTACCGAAACTTTGTACGGAACTTCACAATGATCGTTGCAGCACCGTGCAAACTGCTGAGGAAAGCCTTCAAGAAATTGAAGAAGTCGTTGATTGAGTACCCAGTCCTGAAAGGGGTGGATCCATCACTCCCATTCATTGTCACAACTGACTTGAGCCAGTACGGAATTGGCGCTGTACTCCCACAAACCGATGGAGACGGCTATAGGCCAGTCGAGTTCATGTCTTGTAGGTTGCCTAGTGAGAAGGTCGTTGCATTGACATATGAGCACCAGTTGTTCGCCTTGAGGGAATCACTAAACCACTGGCAGCACCATCTTCTAGGAAGGCACTTTAAAGTCTACTCTGACCATGAGACCCGGATGACCCCTAAGTTGACTAGGTGGGCTGGGGAGATAGATCAGTTCGACTTTGAGCTGAAAGCAGTCAAGGCAAGTACAATGTCGTTGTTGACGCCTTGAGTTGACGTGCAGATTTTTTCGGTGGCATCGTGACTTACCTAAATGTAGGCACCGAGCTGCAGCACCAGATCAAGGCTGCATATGCTTATGATCCCGTTTACAGCTAGCTAATCAGAAGAGTGCGGACCACACCACATGAATTTCCGGAATATAGACTGGCTGATGGACTACTGTTTGAAAAGACTGACAGGTTCGATAGACTCTGTATTTCGAATAATGAGACTGTGAAAAGTCTGATCTTGGGGGGAATGCCACGACACTTGCGCTAATCTCCTATGGTCCTATACCTGGGTCGGCATGAAGCACGACTGCATTGCCTACATCCAGGGCTGCCAAGTATGTCAGCGGAACAAGAGTTCCATGCAGGCCCCTCTTGGATGGTTTTTCAATCATTGGGTTAAAGACTACGGGCACCCTTTGACAATTGTTAGTGATAGAGATAGCAGATTAACGGGCGAGCACTGGCAACAGTTGATGAAGGTATATGAGTCAAAATTAACCATGTCCTCCGGAAGGCACCCGGAAACCAACGGCCAAACTGAGCAGGTGAACGAACTGCTCCAACAAGTGCTGCGCAGATACATTAGGGGACGAGTATCTTCCCAAGGTGCAATCCGCTTAGAATAATTTGGTGCACCTGTGCAGTGCACACACACCGAATGAACTGCATAAGGGCTGGGAACCCAGACGTTCGATCGACTGTCTGAATCCAGATCAGATTCAGAGATTGCCACCCGGCACGAGGGAATTTGCTATTTAGTACGAGAAAGACTTACAGGGTGAAGAAGAACATCTTCAAAGCCCAGCACCAAATGGTAGACTAGGCTAACAAGCACTGACATCCGTCGCAGTTCGCAATAGGCGACTTGGCCTGGGTTAAGTCTAAGGAGTTCATTCCTGAAGAGGGGATCTCGCAGAAACTGTTACCTGCATATAGGGGACCATGGCAAGTCTTAGACATCAAAGGAGAAGCAGATGGTCCATCCTACACTATCGAGATCGAGATACAATCAACACTTGAAGATGTCGTCTCCAGTATTATTATCAATATACAAGAATGTTAGTCTCCAGCGGCTCTGCTGCACACACACACACAACGGATCTCAATCAGGTGGCGGCTATGGCTTCTCTCTCTTCTCTCTCTTTTCTCTCTTCGTCTTGCTTTTCTCCCTAACTTGGCTCAATCTGCCTCACTCTCTCTCTCTAGCCCAGATCGTCACCCTGGATACACCCACTCAGGTAAGCTTACACCTTGGCGCCTATGGCCGCTGTCCTCCTGCTCTACCCCTACCCTAGCTGTGGAGTCACACATGTGCACCCTCTTCTTCTTCGGGCACACAGTTCCCAAGTTGCCTTAGCGCACAAGCAGCAGCAGTGCTTCCACATCTCGGAACTGAACAAGTGATGAGTTGCTGCACTGTAGCAACTAAATATAGGACTTGGCTTGGCTTGGTTTGGCTTGGCTTGGCTTGGCTTGGCTTGGCCTGCTTCAGACCGGTACTGGTCGGCTGGGGCCTGTGTACTGCAAACATTTGGTCGGTTCAGTAGCTTCCGGACCTTCCTGGGACACACTGCAAAATTGGACTTGGGAATGTCGGACTGGACTGGACTGGACGCTTCTGGACTTTTCTTGTCGGGTACCGGACGGACTCCTACCGACCTACGACGCTTCGGTACACCTACCGACCTATGACACTTCGGCCTCTAGACCCTTCCGGACCTTTCTGGGACACACTGCAAAATTGGACTTGGGACTGTCAGACTGGAGTGGACGCTTCTGGACTTTTCTTGTCGGGTACCGGACGGACTCCTACCGACCTACGAAGCTTCGGTACCGACACCTACTGACCTATGACACTTCGGCCTCTAGACCCTACGGCCTACCCTACGGGACGGCCCTGATACTTGGGACTTATGAATCCTGGGACCGGGACTGGCTGTCCGCAGCGTGAATCTTTTCACTCCCGCCGGCCTAATTTCGAGGTCCTCCGAGAAAAATCTCAACTTTATCAATACACATTTACTCCCCGTCTAGCTCTTTCATAATAGGAGACAATGTGAGGGGCTGTCCGTATTAGTTCTTCCCTGGGGAACCAGCGGTCCTTGCTGGGTTCTTGGTAGGCGAATCTGATCTTGTATTGTGTTTGTGGTCTCCCTCGGCGACCTGTACGGACAGTATCCTCAGCAACTATTCGGTCTACATCATAACCTCCATCCGTATCCGGTGGGATCATGGGACGTTCAGAGGGAAACTGATCGTTTGTAATGTAGGGAAGCAACTTAGATGCGTGGAATACTGGGTACTCAGGCAGGATGGTGATCTCTCATGTGAATGTTCATTGATGTATGTGAGGTTGAACTTGATGAGTACTTGGCTCATTTCAATTGGAGGAGGATGGGGGAAATAAGAATTGAACTTCCAAGTTCCAATTCGATTCTGTCTTGTGTATTCGGGTCTTGCTACATGTCTCTCTCCGGTTTTTGTGTGGATTCGCCTCCTTCAACTTCTTCAAGTCTACTTGTCAATTGCATGCGTGTATGGGAATGTGTGAATTCCTTGTGGATGGGACAGGTACATAACAGCTCAGTGCTGATAATGCAGTAGAAGCTCGTAGGCAACTTGCTATGCCACATTCAGTTGGCTAAACACTTTACAGCCAGACTTCTACAGACTGAGAACAGATGTCGCGTTAGCACGATGAGGATTTTCAGTGCTCTCGTATGTTTGGTATTTGGCAATTCAAAGAGAAGCAGTTAACAGAGCCCGAAAAATTTCAGGGTTTTTTCAGGGTCTTTATAACAAACCTCCCACACATTTTAAACCAAACCTGTCACCAGTCCATAGAGTGGACACTGGACACAAAATATAACAGATCTATTGTGAGAACGTTAGGTTCAACATATGCGACCTGTTTCCGTGTTTTGACGGGTGCACCTGTTCTGTTTGTCTATGACTGTCTGTCTGTGACTGGCTCTTGTTTGTTGTCTTTGGACAGCTGATTGGATGGTCCATGTGGTTCTTGGAGTTTGTTTCTCTCAGGAGAAACTGGGCAAAAGATGAGGCAACTCTTAAGGTCAGTGAAGGATGCTGCTATGCAAACTGATTCTTTTCTGGTGAAGTATGTGGCCATGTCAACCGATTCAACTGAGTTCTAATTTTTGGATCATTCCCAATTTATGTGTGTCATCCTTGAATGTGCAGGGGCGATGATAGTCTTCTCTATATCGTTGCAAGTTTATGTTTTAACAGATTTCACAAAACGGAGAAACTGATTCCTTCACGAATGTGGCCATGTTGAAGTGTACTGCTTTGGCTGTTTTTCCATTTCACATCTGCTCTGCGGTGTGGATGATTAGGTTGTTGTACGTGATGGTTAGCGGGTTCATTTGGTGTACATGGTCTGTAGCATGAATGTTTGTGCTGTTCTGGCTGACTCCAAGCAGATGCGTTGTCCAGAGTGTGGTGTGCACGGCTCCCACACAGGCCCCTTCGGTTCCCGACATTGGTGCAGGGTGTGGAGTTGAGTTTGGGGGTGTTTTCCTTCCTTAGTTGGGTTGTCTGAATTTTTCTCGGTTTATTTTGTTCTCAGTTCTTTTGTCTGTTCTGGATTCTGTTTGTCTGTTCCAGTCTTTCTCCGGTCTGGAGGTGTTGTTTCAGAACATCTCCAGACAGGTAGTGCCTCTGGAGTCTGGACCAGTTGGCCTGAATCAGGCCCAGCGGTTGTTTTTCAGGCCGGGCACACTCAGATTTGGGGTGAACCACGTTTAGAGAAAACTTCACGCGTTCTGCCTCTGAGTCCCAGGTGCGGTCCCAAAAGTCCTAAAGCCCTGTGTCCCATGTATCATAGTCCAACCAGCAGGCCATTGGGTTGAAACACGGCTGTAGGTTCTAGGAAGTCCAGTCCTACTGTCCTGGACAAAAGTTCCAGTTCAAAAATAACAGCAACACCCAAGGAAAGCCCGGAAACATCAGGTACCACCAAAACAGCCGCCGCCTACTGGCCAGGGACCATTACTGGACCGGAAGAATCCAAGATTGTCAACTGCAGCCAGTACAAAAAAGGCTGCTATAGTGCCGGAAGGGAACACTTGTTCATTGGAATGGCTGCAGAAGTGCTGCTTGCTGCCTGTGCTGCTTACTTTGAGTGCTGCCTGGTCGGGTGCAGTGAGTAGTCAACAGTGCAGGGTGCCATAGCTAGGACCTTCGGCTGAGGATGTCGGGGAGAGAGAGAGAGAGAGTGGGGTCGAAAACATCCAGAGGGGGGGGAGAGAGACACGAGAGAGAGAGAGAGAGAGAGAGAGAGAGAGAGAGAGAGAGAGAGAGAGAGAGAGAGAGGAACTTGCCTGGAGGAGGCGAAGGCACCCATAGCTGCCGGGCGTATGCAAGTTGGAACAGCTATGATATTCTTTGGGAATTTTGAGTTCTTGTCTGGCTTCATCTCGTTGCTTGTGTCCAAGCTTGTAGTGTTTGAGTTCCATGGTTGTGAATTGGATGTGAATTGAGTGGGGTTGTTGCAGCATGTTCCTTCTTCCCATGCTTTTTTTTCTCTTAATAAGTCGTGATCAAGATGCGAGTGGCAAAATCTAATATTTCCTCACCTGGAAACCTCACAGGCGGCGTACAACAGGCTCCGGGACTACCCACGACCCTTCTGGATGGTTCTGTTTGTGGAGGGAACACGCTTCACGGAGGCAAAACTGCTCGCAGCGCAGGAGTATGCCCGAGCAAATGGTTTGCAAGTTCCTAAGCATGTGCTAATTCCCAAGACGAAGGTGAGTAGGAAGCACACGGACGAAGGGGGTTTGATTGCTGGCCTTAGTACTTCGTCTAAATACTAAATAGTAAATTGTAACATCACGAATATCAAATAACAGTATTCCTACAGGGCCTACACTATTAAAATCGATAGTGTGACAAATCTGAAATCCGGGCAGTTGCGGTCCTACCGGCCCACAACCTGGATCGTTGGAAGTGTAAGAAATTTAAAATCTGGGCTACTGGAGTGATGGCCCAGATCGTCTATAACATGTAACAAATCTGCAATCTGGTCCGTCGGGTCCTACTGGATCGCTGGCCTGGATCGACGCGGTCTTAAGATCGCGTCCAAATGCAGGTCATCGGTACGATAGGGCCCGATGCTCCAGCCTTTTCCAGTTTCAACGGGCAAGTTCGGAACGCGGTGCGGTGCTGTTTTCCCTTTGAAAGTGTAGCGGGCCAGCGGAGTCTGCCGTCGCTCAGTGCAGTGGGTGCAGCACATGTCGTTCTGTTTCGAAAGCACCCGCTGTCATTGTTCTGGCGCGCCCGTTGTTCATGAAGCACACTGTTGCTAAGCTTTCTCTCTCTCTCTCTCTCTCTCTCTCTCTCTCTCTCTCTCTCTCTCTCTCTCTCTCTCCCTAGCGGTTGAACTGATGGCCCTTGGGGATTGTGGTGGGCCCCATGATGGCATGTGTTCCATGCGTTGGTGGGACATCCACACCCGAAAACTGCTCCAAGATGTGAGATGGATGTCAGTGGCCACTTCCCTCCACCCACCTCTCTCTCTCTCTCTCTCTCTCTCTCTCTCTCTCTCTCTCTCTCTCTCTCTCTCTCTCTC